GAGATTGGATTTATACCCCGCCCTTCACTTGGAGTCTCAGAGCGGCTTACAAACTCCTTGCCCTTCCCCTCCCCACAACGGACACCCTGTGAGTTGGGTGGGGCTGAGAGAACTCTGACACAAACTGCTCTTTTTCAAGGACAGCTGTGCCAGAGCTTGTGACTGACCCAAGGTCACATCAGCAGGTGCAAGTGGAGGAGTGGGGAATCAAACCCGGTTCTCCCAGATTAGAGTCCGCGCACTTAACCACGACACCAAACTGGCTCCAGGGCAAACTCATTGATGCAGTAGCCCAAATCCCCTGCTCGCAACTTTAACACCGGTAGCTCACAAAGTGGAATTTTTGCTCACAGGACTCCACGGCTTAGAGGGAGCATTGCTGGAGGGCGATGAAGCGGATGGGCAGTAGGTTCAGGACAGGAAAAAGGAAATACCACTTCACACAGGATGATTAAAATGTGGAACTGGCTGCCAAAGGATGCAGTGATGGCCACAGGAATAGACAGCTTTAAAAGGGGATTGGACAGGTTCATGGAGGAGAAGCCTATCGATGGCTACTAGCCATGGAGACTGAGGGGAACCTCCACATTCAGAGGCAGTCAACCTCTGGATCCCAGTGCCAGGGGGCAACAGCATGGGAAGGCCTCGGCCTCCATGCACTCTCGTTGGACTTCCAGATGAACTGGTTGGCCACTGTGTGAGGCAGGATGCTGGACTGGATGGACCCCTGGCCTGATCTTAGGTTCTCACGTGCTTGCTGGTGCAACCCAGTAGAACGGCCAGTTCCGGAGACCAACCTAGGAGAGGAGAGGCTGAAACCTGCGGATTTGCACTGATCCCCAGGCTGGAACCTTCCAGCTGACCCACTGGTTTTGCATGTACGTTGTGCAGGCCATAGCCCAGCAAGGGCCGTACCACGCCCTTCTCCTGCCCGTGCCGTTTCACCTCTCAGCGGAAGCAGCCCAGGAGTGCTTCAACAGGGATGGGCGAGAAAAATAAATAAATTTTAAAAAACGAGAGACTCTTCATTCAAGAAGAAGGAGAGAGAGAGGAGATTGGATTTATACCCCGCCCTTCACCACCCAAAGGTGTCTCAGAGCGGCTTACAAACAAAGGAGTCTCAGAGCGGCTTACGAACTCCTTTCCCTTCCTCTCCCCACAACAGACATCCTGTGAGGCAGGTGGGGCTGAGAGAGCTCTGACAGAAACTGCTCTTTTTCAAGGACAGCTCTGACAGAACGACGGCTTGCCCAAGGTCATTCAGCAGCTGCAAGTGGAGGAGTGGGGACTCAAACCCGGTTCTCCCAGATTAGAGTCCACGCGCTTCACCACGACACCAAACTGGCTCTCAGTTAACAAGCGGCATGCTAAGTTGACCAAGTGGATGTGCAGAAGGCACCCGGTCCATTTGCGATGCAGAAGTTAAGCCCTGCCAGCTCAGACCGGCGGTCCATCGAGTTCAGCCTCCCGTCTCGCACGGCAGCCAACCAACACAGTGATTCCTGCGTGCCACAGCCGTGCGTGCCAGTCAGGGAGGCAACCGGCACGCCTGTGCCGACCAAAACCAAATCACGCCTCTCGTGCAGGACTCACCACGGGGCTGGAGTCGAACTGGAGCACCACATGCTGCAGAAAGACCATCAGATAGGCGGGATGTTCCTTCAGGACCTCCAGGTTCTGGAACAAGCTGGTCTGGGCGTCCGGGTTCTGGAGCTGGGGGGGAGGCACCAAAGAAGACAGTCAGCCCGCCCTCCTCTCCCGCCAATCTTTCGCCCAGCACCACCGATCATCGCCCGCCTCCGCCGCGCTTCCCTTTTCCACCTGACCGGTGTTCCCTCTAAGCTGAGTTAGTGTGAGCTAGCTCATAGTTTTTTAGCCTCCGGCTAACACGTTTTTGTCTCCGCTCAGGAAGGGCTGGCTCCAGAGCCCACTCATTGATGCAGCAGCCAAATCGCTCGCTCGCAACTTGAATGCCAGTCTGCCTCTACAGCATCAGGGGATGAATATTTTTCATGTGATTCGGGCAGGGTGGCCTGAAACCAGTGTTGCCTCTAAGTTGAGTTAGTGTGAGCTAGCTCACAGCCTTTTAGCCTCCAGCCCACACATTTTTGTCTTGGCTCAGGAAGGATGGCTCCAGAGCAGTGTTCCCTCTAAGCTGAGTTAGTGTGAGCTAGCTCACAGTTTTTTAACCTCCAGCTCACACATTTTTGTCTTAGCTCAGGAAGGAGGGCTCCGGAGCAGACTAATTTATGCAGTAGCCAAATTGCTCGCTTTAATGCCAGGAGCTCACAAAGTAGAATTTTTGTTCACAAGAGCCCACAGCTTAGAGGGAACATTGCTCCAGAGCAAACTAATTTGTGCAGTAGCCAAATGGCTTGCTCACAACTTTAATGTCAGCAGCTCAAAATGGGGAATTTTTGCTCACAGGACTCCACAGCTTAGAGGGAGCGTCGCGCCCAACCCTGCCTCTACCCGTGTCTCCTGCTTACCAGCTCAATGTCATTCTCAAAGTCCTCGTCTTCGGCGCCGATGATCACTACCGCCGACCCGCTCTGGGCACCTGGCGCTGGGTTCTAGCAAGGATGGAAGGACAGGTTAAGTCCCCTGGAAGCGACTGATACAATCTCGGCTTTAGCAACCCCCAAATCTCTTCTGCGCACCTTTTGAGCACTCAACTCCTGTTTCTGAGTGGTTTAAAGTCCTTTTTGCCCCCGCCACCCCCAACGGCTAACCGAAGCAGGGAGTTTCAGAGAGAGGCCACGGATACCCAGACCTCTGCCCATCCCCAGACTTTTATTTATAACCACGAATTGCTCCCCGCGAGATGCGGAAAGGAATTTCTGGGCTCTGATTTGGAGAATCGGCCCTCTTGCCAAAAGAAGAGAGCCAGTTTGCTGTAGTGGTCAGGAGCGCAGACTCTAATCTGGGAGAACTGGGTTTGACTCCCCACTCCTCCACTTGCAGCTGCTGGTGTGACCTTGGGTCAGTCACAAGTTCTCTCAGAGCTGTTCTCTCAAGGGCAGTCCTCGAGAGTGCTCTCTCAGCCCCACCTCCCTCACAGGGTGTCTGTTGTGGGGGGGGGGGAAGGAGGTTGTAAGCCACTCTGAGACTCCTTCAGGTAGTGAAGGGCGGGGTAAAAATCCAATCTCTTCTTTTTCTTTCAAAACCAGAACCTCCCCACTCTCACCCCCTGCCCCGTTACTCACCCCGTTGTACGCTTCCTCCACCTCCATCTTGCCCCCTGGGGAGGGGTCCCCAGCGGCTGGGTCAAGGAGTCCAAGGGTTCAGGTTCAGCATATACCTGCAGACGACACCCAAAGCCAGAGTTCACCGACTGACCGCCCTGTGCGGCCTCCACTTCCGAACCCCTCCCCGCAACCCCCCCCTAAAATTAACGTTTCCGTTGGGCCCTCTGATGAGAGTTTATTTACTTTGTTCGCACCCTCCCCCGTTTCTCCCCAGTGGGGCCTGAAGCGGCTTGAGTCACGCTCTTCTCTTTTAACCTCACAACAGCCCTGCAAGGTAGGGGGGGCTCAGAGCCTGAGGTTCCGTGGCAGCGCGGGGATTCCAACCTGGGAGTCCCAAATCCTGATCGAACGCTCCGACCACTTCACCACATTGGGGAGTGACCAGCATAAAGGTCGGCAAGGAGCAGATTCCGAGTACGCAGCCGGATCCCTTGAAGGGGGCTATCAGGGCCCCCAGGTGTGCAGCCAGAGGCACAGGCGTGGGTGGGAGTGTACAGAGCGGCGGTTGGGGTCAGGGGACCCACAAGCCGTCCAACAGAGACGGAGCAGGTGGTCAGGCTCGGCCTACTAGCCTCCCTCACCTTCTCAGGGTGGACCTAAAAATGTAAATGGAAATGTTTCCCTTGCTTGAAAGCCAGTCGAATCCGACTCTAGGGTTGCGGTGCTCATCTCTGTTTCCAAGCCGAAGAGCCAGCGCTGTCCGAAGACGTTTCCGAGGTCATGTGGCCGGCATGACTAAACACCAAGGCACACGGAACGCTGTTCCCTTCCCACCGAAGTGGTACCTATTTATCTACTTGCAATTTCTTGCTTTCGAACTGCTAGGTTGGCAGGAGCTGGAACTAGAGACGGGAGCTCACTCCGTCATGCGGGACACTCGGGTCTCGAACTGCTGAACGAACGACCTTCCACAGCCTGCAGTTCAGCGTCTTAACCACTTGAGCCACCGCAGCTCCAGGTCCAGGATGGACCTACAGGAACGTTAATTGCAAACTGAGGATTAACTCTTGATCAGGCAGTGAAGCTATACGGGCCCTGATATGGATGGCCCGGGCGAGCCTGATCTTGTCAGCTCTCGGAAGCTAAGCAGGGTCGGCCCTGGTTCGTACTTGGATGGGAGACCGCCGAGGAAGTCCAGGGTTGCTACGCAGAGGCAGGCCATGGCAAAGGCCCCCTCATAGTCTCTTACCCTGACCTGGATGGCCCAGGCTAGCCCGATCTCGTCAGCTCTCAGAAGCTAAGCAGGGTCGGCCCTGGTTCGTACTTGGATGGGAGACCGCCGAGGAAGTCCAGGGTTGCTACGCAGAGGCAGGCCATGGCAAAGCACCCCTCATAGTCTCTTACCCTGACCTGGATGGCCCAGGCTAGCCCGATCTCGTCAGCTCTCAGAAGCTAAGCAGGGTCGGCGTCAGTACTTGGATGGGAGACCACCGAGAAAGACCAGGGTTGCTACGCAGAGGCAGGCCATGGCCAACCACCCCTGAATGTCTCTGCCCTGACCTGGATAGTCCAGTCTAGCCTGATCTCGTCAGCTCTCAGAAGCTAAGCATGGTCGGCCCGAGTTAGTGCTTGGATGGGAGACCACCGAGGAAGACCAGGGTTGCTACGCAGAGGCAGGCCATGGCCAACCACCCCTGAATGTCTCTGCCCTGACCTGGATAGTCCAGTCTAGCCTGATCTCGTCAGCTCTCGGAAGCTAAGCATGGTCGGCCCGAGTTAGTGCTTGGATGGGAGATCACCGAGAAAGACCAGGGTTGCTACGCAGAGGCAGGCCATGGCCAACCACCCCTGAGTGTCTCTGCCCCGACCTGGAGGGCCCCGGCTGGCCCGATCTCATCAGCTCTCGGAAGTTAAGCGGGGTCGGCCCTGGTTCGTCCTTGGATGGGAGACCCACTGAGGAATCCCAGGGTTGCTACGCAGAGGCAGGCAATGGCCAACCACCTCTGTCTGTCTCTGGCCTTGGAAACTCTCTGAGTTCACCGTAAGTCGGGGGGGGGCAACTTGATGGCAGCTTCCACCCTCACCAAAGCTATATGTGGGCTGCTCCATTCCTGGTTGCCGAAGGGGGTTTGCACGACTGAGTGAGCCACACCCCCTTTTTTTTTTTTAAAGAAAGAAAACAACACCCGAACTCTCCTCCCTGACCTCTGCTTTTCAACGTGGAGGGAACGTTTCGCATGGCAGAGCGTTCAGCAACACACACACACACACCAGTCTGCAGTGTTACAGTCCTGACACAGGTTTACTGCTTCGGTCAGAACCAAGCTGAGGCCGCGGGGGGTGGGGGGGGGGAGCTGCTAAAATTTAGCCTCCAGCAGAGAACATAACGGTGGAGGGGGGATTTGGGGTTGGCACCAACGCTCCCTCTAAGCTGTGGAGTCTCGTGAGCCAAAATCCAACTTCGTGAGCTGCTGGCATAAAAGCGGTGAGCGGGCGATTTGGCTGCTGCATCAAATCAGTTTGCTCTGGAGCCCCTCCTTCCTGAGCGAAGACGAAAACGTGTGAGCCGGAGGCTAAAAAAAATGTGAGCTGGCTCACACTTAGCTTAGAGGGAACACTGGTTGGCAGTCCAATGTTCCCTCTAAGCTGTGGAGTCTCGTGAGCAAAAATTCTACATGGTGAGCTGCTGGCATTAAAGTTGTGAGCGAGCGATTTGGCTGCTGCATAACTTAGTTTGCTCTGGAGCCCTCCTTCCTGAGCGAAGAGAAAAATGTGTGAGCTGGAGGCTAAAGAAAAGTGGGCTAATTCCAGCACTTCTGAAAACTTCGACACCGACTTTTAATTTTCGGATGATTTTAGTTAGTTGGCTCCACCCCAAGTGTAGTTAGGTAATTTTTAATCTCTGGGCTCAGCCTGGGTTTTATGTGACCGTGATTATGTACCTTGACACATTTATGTCTATTTTATGTACCTATTTTATCCCCCTTTGGTATCCTCTTGGTCAAGACTTCGGTCATATAGACCTGTAATAAATTGAATTGAAAAGTGGGCTAAGCTCACACTAACTCAGCTTAGAGGGAACAACGGTTGGGCACCCCTCTAGTGCAACTCAAAGGTTGCTCAGTTTGTGAGTTGCCAGCTCAGCTTTTTCTGAGAAGCCCTCTATCATCCATAGCTGCAGCCAGGAGATGGGGGGGTAGTGGAGGGGGGGGAATTGCACATAGAGAGGCATTCAAGCTACCGAGGCTGCTTCTCCCCCCAATTTCCCCAATTACTCAGAAATTCCTAAACTAGGTGGAGGTACCGAGGGGGCATGAATGCCGCGTCTGTCACCTACAAAGAGGCTTCACAGAACGGTGCGAGCGGGCAGGGAAAACGGCACTCCCCGCAGACGGCCTGACTCATAGCGGGCACCGTGCCAACGGCCTGGCATGAGGGCAGGCAGGGTGGAGACCCGTTTTCTTTGGGGGGGGGATGGATCCAAAGGGAGGGGGAAACTGCAATGACTCACAGGGTTCCAGGGACAAACCAAACTGCCCTTTGCCTCCCTAAATATAAACACATGTTATCTGCCCCCCCCCAGGCGAGGTGGCCATAAGCGAACCCGAACCTAATCAGAGAAATCCGTGCAGAGAAAACTACTAGTTTGGTGGAGTGGTTAGGAGCGTGGACCCTCATCTGGGAGAACCGGGTTCAATTCCCCACTCCTCCACTTGCAGCTGCTGGATGACCTTGGGCAAGCCACGGTTCTGTCAGAGCTGTTCTTGAAAGAGCAGTTCTCAGTCAGAGCACTCTCAGCCCCACCTACCTAACAGGGTGTTTGTTGTGGGGAGGGGAAGGAGTTTGTAAGCCGCTCTGAGACTCCAAGTGGGGTATAAATCCAATCTCTTCTTTTTCTACTACTAGGATATTGGTGCCTACTAATGGAAGAGCGATGGAGGATGCCGTGGGTGGGTGGGGAGATAGCTCTTTGGAGCCCCCTACTGGGGAACAATGTAACCTACTCTTCAGCCACCGGTTTTTGCACCCACATGCCCTCTAGTGGGGGAACAACAACAATACACTTGGCGTTCAATTAAAAGGCCCTTTCATGGCACTCTCAAACCAGGCTTGGCCTCTTGTGATGCCTGAGAACTACATCCAGGAGACTGCGCCTTTTTTCGCCCACAAGCAGCCAATGGAAATATTTATGGAGAGGCACATGCCGGTAGATGTTTATGAGGAGTAGTCACTTTAACGGTCAGGATGGCGAGGGAGATTGACAGTGGAACCGACCACTGCAATGATTATCGAAGGCATCACCTGCTTCGCCTTCACCTTATAACCTTGCCTTGGATAATTTGCCGCACGCACTGTCCCCTAACTCTGCAACGCTAGTCCTACTGGATTGCTCATAGGTTGCTTTATGCTCTCTGACGGCACTGTTTAATGTTCTGCAACCCTCCCTGAGTCCCGTCAAGACGATAAATTGAATAAATAATAGATGATGATAATAAGGCACAACATTTAATCCAGATAGTTTAGCTAACATAGTTTCTACCCAAGGACCGTTTTAAGAACCTAAGAGAAGCCAACGTTGGATCAGGCCAGTGGCCCATCCAGTCCAACACTCTGTCACACAGTGGCCAAAAATACCAGGTGCCATCAGGAGGTCCACCAGTGGGGCCAGGACACTAGAAGCCCTCCCACTGTTGACCCCCCCCCAAGCACCAAGGATACAGAGGATCATCGCCCCAGACATAAGAACATAAGAGAAGCCAACGTTGGACCAGGCCAGTGGCCCCTCCAGTCCAACACTCTGTCTCACACAATGGCCAAAAATACCAGGTGCCATCAGGAGGTCCAGCAGTGGGGCCAGGACACCAGAAACCCTCCCACTCTTGTCCCCCCCCCAGCACCAAGAATACAGGGGATTACTTGCCCCAGATTGAGAGTTCCTATCTATAGCTTTGGCTAATAGCCACTGATGGACCTCAGTTTTCCTCCCCGTTCCTTTGCCACGGCTGCAAAACAGGCAGAAATACAACAGGTGCCCCAACATCACATCTCCAGACCGGGAAAGGATGCGCTTCTGCTGAATTCCTTTCTGACGCAGTTGTTAAAAAGAAACCTT